AGTTTGCCTGATGGCCTGTTTGATTTTGAACTTCTGTAGGGTAGCGGCAACGTTTGGTCGGGTTATCATGAACGGACTATACTTTTGCAGGCTCTGGCGAAGACCCTGCCGGAAACGTGAGCCGATGAAGCTTTTTACCAACCTTGTGTTGTGTTCAATAGAAGAAAGCTCAAAAAAATAATTTTGAAAACAGCCGTAGTGGCCCAGAAATTATGGACCGACCTAAAAGAAGGTGGAAATCGATTGGCCAGAGATCCCAGAGTGAGGCGTGATCATAACAGGCCATTTGAAGTCATTTGTACGACGTATGAGCACATGATCATAACAGGAAGCGGGTGCGCTTTTGCTGAACTGTACCCTTTTCTTTCTTGGTATAGCTTGTCGATATTTTGGCTAGACCTTGGTGTAGCAATAAATCCACCTGGCTTCAAAAATTTGCGACAGTCCTAGAGAAAGCTACCAATCGGTGAGCATGATCTCTTCCATGACATTCAAAGCTCTTGCAGCGAGCTGTGAAGCTTTATAGCAGTGCAGTCCTTGAACGTAATGTCTCAGTTGGACACATTGAGTAGACTTGTGTCGTCCTTTCACTGCTATTGAACGCCGCAGTTCGCATTTCGAATGCTTAAAAATGCTGGGTAATCATGTGTTACATGTTACACAACCCTGGCCAGCTCTCCATAATTAGCACAGCTTTTCAGCACTCGCACCTCTAATGTGATGAGCCGGTTAAAGATAAAAGGATAAAGCATTTGCCGTTGATCAATCCCTTTTTGGGATGCGGCACGCATTCTACTTCCATTTGTACATTCGTAGTGGCGTTTGAATGCGATGTGGCCTATACAATGACTTGCGGGGGCCAGCCGATGTACAAGTCAGTGTTTTTATCCTCCCAGACAAGTCTGGTACCAATTAACCGACCCCGGAGGGATGGCTTGGTTGGCCCGGGCGACTCACGACCCAGGATTTGATCCCCGGACCGCTCGCGTGGTAAGCGTGCCACTTGCCACTACACCACTTCCGCCCTCGTTTATCGATATCGGTACTAAATCGCAAGGCTGAAGGCTCTAGCTGATATTAATTTGAAATTTGAAGTGAGGTTGAGTTTGTCTTCGCACATGTTAGAACGGTGCAAGAATGAGCCATCCTTACTGAGTAGAAGGAGCAATGAGGATTTCAAAGACGCGGGGAGGATCCCCGCGACAGGTCCAAAGCTGAGCGATTTCATGCGGTATCCACTTATACAGCTTCAACTTCTTTACAATTGCCTTCAAATACTTGGGGAGATGTCAGTTTGCTGGCTCGTAGTTTCGTTAACTCTCGCTAAGACGGGCAAGGACATGCGTCACCAAAGGCTACCAGACCTAAAGCTGAAATGTACTGTTTCCTTTTTTTTTAAAGGTTTATAACTGAAGTTGGCATACAGTTGCTGAAAATTCTCCAGTTGAGAACTTCATTGGCAGTCCAATCTGTACTTGTTGGAGCCATTTACATTGATCCCATAGAAATATTGCAGATGCTCCACTTTGAACAGAAAAATTCCAACTGAGCAATTTGTGTTATTTACACTGAAGGATAGGGAACAGGCCGTTTCCCATTGTATAGTGCAGTACAAAGCTCGAGATTCAATTGCCTGCCAAAAATTGTGCAAAGAGACAGCAATGCAGAACTTGCATTACTTTTCAAACAACTTCGTCTGGATAAGAGAGGGATTTCACTCAACTAAACAATTTCCTTCCCCTACTTTCTGACTGCCGAGTCACCTAGCGATCACTTCAAATTTAAGGTACCACAAAATCCGCGTCTCGGGATCTTGTGTCTTTATCCGCCCTTATAAAGTATCGTGCGCTATTTGAAGCAAAGTTAAGGTTGATATTTGGCTCTTTAACGCCAAATGCACACCTTAATATGGAAGTTCTCATTGTAATAAGGGATATTTACACATTTATATGGTGTCCGTAACATTGCTGAAATTTAACACATTTATCATAACTATGTCTCAACGCTTATCTTAGCATTGTTTTACATTAGTGGATAATCTTCTCGGAAAAGATTTCACAGCCGAATATTTTGACTCGTTTTCAGAGCGTGCGCCAGTGCAGGTACCTGGAAGAGATGAACTGTTATCAGTTGGAGAGGGATTTCCCGGAGCACGTTGTTTACCTCCTGGTGGCTTTCTGACGTCGTGATGGAGAAATGGTATTTCATCGTGTCAATATTACTGTCCTCCTGAACGTATGAATGAATTGTTTTCGCTTGTTGAGTGTTACTTTTCGTGGGAGCGGGCGCTGTGGAAAATCACCGAAGGTTATGGGTAAACTTTCGACTCAGATAGAATTCGAGGGTGCTATACAAGTAGGGTGGGCACGCCGCATTTTTTGAACAGAAATGTATGTAAGTGGGACTGCTGCCCGCTACTATACTGTCACGAGAATCGGGGAATTCGTGAGCCAGGGGAGTGTAGCCAATCTAGGGGTGGGGGGAGTGAGGGCAGTCACTTGACATGCGTGAAAAGCTGGGCGTGCCCACCCCACTTGTATAGAGCCAATTCGAGCTTACAATTGCAGTCTCCTTGCATTTCGCTTGTCAGTCGCGCTATTAAAGCTCCCAGCTTCCTTCGTTCGGCCTACAGTGGTGCCTTAGCATAGCTGAAGATCCTTGACTTTGGCGATGCCAACCGATCAAAAATCAACCGAAACCTTGAGCGTTCCATCCTCGTTCTCGCCGATGGAGCCATAAAGATCGTGCAGTTTCTTGTCAAGCTTCAATGCAGGTGAGCTGTAATTGCTCGTACATCGCTTTGCTGCTCCTTTACAAGCGATCTAATTATTCTGAAGCACACGAAAAATTGAACTGAAATCGCAAACGCGGCTGTCAACTGGGTACAGCAGTTTCGGTAATCTTAGGGCTAACTGCCTCTTTGAAGGTACCTTCCGCAGTTGCGAAAGTAACTTTATAAGCTCGAACATAACTCGGGCTAATACTAGGTCAGTAGTGAAAAGTGTAAATGAACCTATAAGAAACCTTAAAGCACAGTGCACGCTACATAGTCCCTTGGGAGGGGTTCGTTCCTCTCTCCCTATGGTCGTCTCCTTATCAAACGTTGTCTCGAAGTGGGATCACCCCAACCATCTCCAATCTTGACCAGCGCGCAGTGCGGTTTGAACCATGTTTGTGGCCTTGTTCGCTAAATTCATTGTTGCTCTAGCAGCTTTCACATATGCTTCCATGTTCTGAAAGGATAACCTAAGTTCGCCGAGGAAATCGAGGGATTACACTACGAAGGTCCATACATGGTATTTTGATGAGCCGGGTAATTCTTGAGAAACTGAGTCATCTTAGCCTTCAGTGAGGGGCTGGGCGATTGCCAGCATTTGAGTAGGGTACCGTCCATGATCCTACCCAAAACCAAATAGCAAAGAGCCAAGGATTGCCCACGAGCGGTCCTGTAAGCAGCCCACAGGTGGTTCCCTTATAGTATAACCCCAACATTTTTGCCAAATATGATGGATTGCTAATAGAAGCTCCAAAAATCTTTCCCACGAGATAGCAAAAACTTGCCTTAGCTGTTGTTTCTCTCTGCTGTTGCTCTTTGATTCTTTCTTGTAACTGCCGGCGGGTGACTTCCATTCGCTTTATCATTTCACACAGCTCGTCATATTTTCTGTCCCATTCGCCCAGCTCTTGATGCATCAGAAGCATTTCGTTCTTCATTTGTTTCAAATGGTGCTAAAATAAGCCCACTGAAATCTCTAGCAGGCTCAATTAGTCTCTAACATCGAGATGTTGGAGCAAAGCAGAGGAAGGGCAAGAGCTAGTAGTGAAGAAGCCGATCTGTACAGTTTTAACGAAACTCACGATAAAATGGTAAAGTACACCTTCATGAGATGGTTAGAAGAAAGAAGACGATAAAAAATTGAAGGAATCGATAGCAGAATTAAAAAGTACTACTTATCTGTAGCAGGAGTTATGCCAGAGTGTGACCCCCGTGTTGGTAGAAGAATGACATAGGGGCGTTTGAAGTGAATTACGAAAGAAAAGGCAGCCTATCAGGATTCAAGATAGTGGTGGTTAGCAATGCGAGACGGGGATAAAACCACTACAAATGGCTCAGAACACGAGAATTGGCACCCGAGCTTAGCCACTGATGCCAATCCTGAGCAGGTATCTCTGCCAAGGGTTTAGCTTTTATTGAGCAACAGCATTGACCTGCCCATTTGATTCGGCCTGATTAGTTGGGGTAGTTTCCGAATTACTCAGAGGAGGATTCCACGATAAGGACGAATGTCGAAGAGGGTGAAGCTTACATAGTAAGAGACCCGATCTTCTATGGCTGCGGCCTCAAAGCAGTTCGCATCGAACCGTACAACTCACCAGCCTGGGTAGGCTCCCCGCGGCGCACCTGCCGCATATCAGCACGGTGCGCCCTCCCTCTCTCCTCCTCATGTTGTCTGGTATTTGAGTCTCTAGCCATTTAACAGAGAGAGAGCATTAGCGTTGAAGGGGGCAGATCCGATGGAACTTCTGAGTGCACAAACTAAACGCGTAATGAAGGTAGTCCCATTTTCTGGGTTTTAGACCATTTCTATCGGTCTTTTTTCTTTCATGCATCACTGACCATTTATAACTCAATTTCCAATATTTTGCCTTGATAGTAAGATCGTATCTGCAAGAAATGTTGTGGAGAAAGGCCGCGGGCGGTTGCCACCTACCAACAACCCCTACCAGGTGGTTAACACAATATTAGATATATACTTGATATAATCAATATATAAATATTTACCAAAGCAATTAGGCTCTTGAAAAAATGTTCAACTCTTCATTATCAAATTCTTGAAATACAGGGCACTCTTTGAGGTTTAAATATGTATTAAGGAGTCTGTAGTATGTACCAACTTTGTGTTCCCTTTTCCTTTGCTTGATTTCCACAAGTTTATTGTCAACTCGTGTTCGCATCTGCATGAGCATGTTGATGTTATACTCGATATCATCAGAAATAATTGCTGAAAGCGTTCCGGTGGCGTACTAGGCGAGATCCTCGTGCCAGCATCTGCATTTTATAACAATGATCGCTGGTAATCAGAAGCATTTTTGTAGAAGTTCCCCACACACCTTTTGCTTTTCTTCTCTTAGATATTCCACCCATCTTGCCACCCTCTTCAGCGAGCTCGGACTCTCTCAGCCGCGCTTTCTCTACGTGATCGGTGAGTTCACTGATTCGAGCGGAAAGCTGAAAATGGTGATGCGATCTCATGGACAGAGGCGAATGCAAATTTCCCATCACCCAGGCATGACTGCTGGCATTGCTTCAGAGGTGACAGGAGATGTTGACGAATCCACAGTGCTGTGATGACATTAATAAAAAACTATAAAAAACTCATAAAAACTGCCAGGAGAAGGACTAAGCAAAAGTCGTAGGATAGGATTAGCGCTGGTGACAAGATTGAAGCATCCAGCTCTAACACGTCGCTTTATGCCATCAAGCTTTTGACTACGGGTACCCGGACAGGAAGCCCGTCACTCGGCGAGAAGGCTGAGATGCGAACGAGATGCAATGCGTACTGTTGCGATTGCCCGTCAATTAAATGAAATGCATTATATTACGTCCACATCACACAGCACGTGCTACGACGCGTCCACGTCTCTGCCCTCTCGCCGCGAGACGGGCCTTCGTGTCGGATACCCCTTAAAGGCATGCCCCAGGATCGCACTGGTGTGGCTCTTGCACACGAATGTGAATGTATCGGTGCCAAGTGGGCCGGCAGTGAAGAAAAAAGGAAAAGAATCCGTCGAAAACGCTCAGGTTGAGGGCTCACTCACCTTCCTAATTGGCTGTGCTAAAGGAACGAGAGACTAAGCGCGAAGAGGAGAGTATGGGGCGAGAGAGCGCATCAGATGAGAGAGCACCAGACAACGGCCTGATAAGAGAGCTCGTTCGCTGCAGCTCGAGCAGCTTACTTTGCAAGCCCAAAGCGTTCTTGTCGGTCGAATTCCGTGCACGTGAACGCCACATTTGTGATTGTCCCCTAGGGTTCTATACTTCTGACCGAAGAGAAGAGTTCACACGACCTCTGCCTGGGTTGTGCCTTTAAGCATGTTGGTAACACTGTGTACCACTTTCGTAGTCAAGAGCACTTCCATAGTTTTCGAAATTTACTGAGACAGGAGCGCCCGGTTGAGAGTAGAGTTGTGCACAAATAGAAAGTATATGGGTCTTGATCTTACAACAAACAGTCACAAGTCAAAGCGACTACCCTTGGATGGGTTGATGACGTAACTCGAGCCGCAGGTCACTGGTAAATGGGCAACAGCTCCCAAAAAAGGTATTTCCTAAGTTTTGCGCCCTCTTAATATTAATATGTGTGTTGGTAAATGGAAATGACATTGCAGTGTCATACTTTCAAAATTATGTTCATCTTTTTTTTTGGGCAGAGACGGTGTGGTGACGAGAGGCACCGCTACCGCATGCAGGGCCAGTGGTGTTATTAATACCAGGGATGGTAGTAAACTTGTCAAACTTGCACGTTAACGGGCAGCTTTAATGAGCACATAACGTGGAGGTGCAAGTTTTTCAGATGATGGTGGAACGCTTCTATGGCACCTAGGAGACCTAATTATGAAACCTGAGCCAGAGCTGCAGTCCCGAGATGCTGCAGGCAGAGTGATGGATGGTCACCATTTCCACTATGGCAGACTTCCAACTGCTCAATGTGAACGTTCCACGCTCCCGCTGGCAAGGTTGCTAGATCAACGCCGCTTGCAGTCTAAGATTTGCAAACAATATCCGTTGCTTCCTGTCATCTATCTGTTTCAGTGGTGTGATCGAGTGATCCCTGGGCAATGGCGAAAACCCGGCTGTGAATCATACCATCCAGGGTCCAAGTCCTAGAGCGGCGCAAGTTTTGCAAGCACTGTGTCGAGGCTGGTGGTCTTGAAAAGGGTCATGTCCGTGTTCCGCCGCGTGCTTCCTTAGTTGGCGGAAGAAATCACCGATTGTGATTGCTAGTTTAGGCACTTACTACCGTCCACGGCCAAGTCCGTGGTAATTCAGTCAAATTTCTACAGATGATTAATTGGCGCAAGAAACGACAGTTTTTGTGAAAAATATACCGAGAACTTAGTTTTGAAAAGTCTTAGTGTAACCATTAAGCTAAGGTCAGCCATTGCACTGGCAAAAGTGGAGTCAGCAATTCTCCTTATCTCTCCCCTCCCTTTCGCTATTATGGACCACGTCCTTCATAGTGCGATGGAGTCTTACCTGACATATCTCATTCAGTTGTTCTGTTCTTAATCTCTCTTGCACCTCGATCTCTCTTTCAGTACAATTACAACAGTTCACTAGGTCTTGGTGAATTTCTCGAAGATCACTTTCCTAAAATTGATTCAAGGTTGGCAATGAGGGCTTCCAGTATTTCTTCATCATGTAGCACGCTGAAAAGCCAAAAGGGGCGAAAGACAGCACATGGACAATTCCTACGTTGAACGCGTCTCAGCCAATGCTTGTTTCACTCCACAAATAATCTAGAGATTTTAACCCAATGAAAATGGGTTGAAAATAAAAGGCAGGTGACACAGTTCACTTGGTTTTGAAAAAGGAATTCTGCCCATTGTGCAGGGGAAGCAGGTGCGTACGAAACTGGCATGTGGCGCTTTCACGGCTGAGAGGGCACAGAGAGCGAGCCTGTAGAAAGCGCATAGAGCTTTACCTCCATCTCTGGACATTTCCTTGCCTTGTCCGCCCTCCGATCGGCTGCTCCAGAAAAGCGACACTGGGAGTAAGCCCAGGAGAGGGGGGTGGAACGCTAGGGAGAACAGAAATTGCTCAAATCCTTCTCCTCAGAATTCCTTCGGCTTCCACAGGCAAGTGAGTGAACAGGTTACCGTACCCAAGTACTGTAACCTGTTCACTCACTTGAATGTCTACGACAAGAGCACCTCAGACAGAATATGCGCAGCGCCTTTGACGCTGCCACTATTGCAAAGAATAATCTAGCATTTACAGTTAGCCGTTTTCCAGCATTCAGAGATCAATGCTGGAGCCAAAAAGGCCGTCCTCGAACATCGGTCCCATTCTATCGTAATGTCACTGGCACTTGTGTACTAGGACGTATCGTGGCGCACGGCCCCCAAAACATCCGGGACCTTTATAGTTTCTTGTTCGCACAAGCAAGAACTCACACACTAAGAACTTCCACCCAATGCGTAACATTGAAAATGTTGGGCTAGGTGTCAGAGTCCGCGATCCGTCGCGCGATTCGCTTGAATCACGTACGGACCACAGAAATCACAAGTGCCCCAATCAATACTGCGCGGTGCTCTCTAATCTCGCTACCATTTCTGCTTTATGGTGATGGTTGACTGACGTGTTGCGCCGCGACGTTCCCTCTCTAGTACACCAGTGTCCACAAAATGAAAAAAAAATTGGGAAAAACAAAGTTTCTCAATTTTTCGGTTTTTTTTGCTGCCAAAAGCAAAGTAAAGTGACTCTGTGGGGTCATATTAACGTTTCACTAATTCTAAATAAGTTCGTATTTACTCTCACCTACTTACTGCTACAATTAATTTAATTAGTGCTACTTACGCTAATTGGCCCCTTTTCCAGTCTGCAGAACGTCTTCGCAATAAACTCCTCTGTTATTTTCTGAATATATCGATTCACTTGAAAGGGGGAGAATAGCCAATTCTAACTGTTCACAACGTCGACCTCATCATAACTTTCCGCTCGCTAACGATGTAAGCAAACCAGCCCTTTTGGCGTTTCTGCTGGGGCCGTATGCTGAATGTTGGGGAGGGGATGGGGTCCCCGACGGTGGACGGACTACTTCAACTCGGTCCTTAAAACCGCCTCAATTTGATGCTTACCTTCG